CCCGGGCCTTGGGCCCCCCCCCCCCCCCCCGGAGGGTTTCAAGGCAAGAGACGTTCAGAGGTTGTTTGCCACTGCCTGCCTCTGTATAGCGACCCTAGACTTCCTTGGTGGTCTCCCATCCAAATACTAACCAGGGCCCGCCCTGCTTAGCTTCCGAGATCTGAGAAGATTGGGGTAGCCTGGACTATTCAAGTCAGTGACACCTTAGAGACCAACAAGGGGTATAAGCAGGGCTTTTTTTGTAGAAAAAGACCAGCAGGAACTCTTTAGCATAATAGGCCACACCCAACAGCAGAAACTCATTAGCATATTGGGCCACACCCCTGATAGCACAGTTCATTAGCATATGAGGCCACACCCCCATGTTACCAGAAGTGTGGCCATCCAGCCACACCGACCTTTTTGCTTCTTATTCTGTTTACCTTGTTTGTTGTCAAAACCCAGGGCTTTTTTTTGTAGCAGGAACTCCTTTGCATGTTAGGCCATACACCCCTAATGTAGCCAGTCCTAATGAGTTTCTGCTTTAGGGTGTGGCCTATTATGCTAATGAGTTCTTGCTGGGCGTGGCCAACTCGGGAGCCAGCCGGATCTCCGTTCCCGTACGTTCCTGCCCCAAAATAGCCCTGGGTATAAGCTTTCGAGAGTCAAAGCTCCCTTTGGGTCAGATACCCGGTATCGTGTTGGTCTCTAAGGTGCTCCTGTACTCATCAGGATTCACACAGGCTTTGGGATTCCCACAGGGAGCGTTTGCAGAGGACGTCTGTGGGCAAATTAATTTCTGCTCTAGTCACAATATATGTGTGTGTGTTTGTGTTTTCAATTTCAGGGAAAACAGACCCTTAAACGGAAGCATTTGTGTTGCCAACCACACAACTCCAATGGACATTGTCCCCTTGATGTGTAATGAACACTACTCTATGGTAGGAGCCATCAATTGAAGTGCAAGTGATTAAGGCGGACATGTCAAACATAAAGCCTGGGGGCTGGAACCGGCCCGTCCAGGGTTCTTACCTGGCCCACGAGCAACTGGGGGCGGGGAACAGTCCAAATGAGGACCAGAAGGGTATTATACCCCCTTTTGAGGTTCTTCTTTTCCCTAAATGCAGGCTCTCCCCAGGGTCTTCCCCCAAATCTCCAGGGATTGCCCAACCCAGAGTTGGCAACCGTAAGAGGTGAGGAGGGCTGGTTTGGCTGCTGAGGAGGGGTCTGGTAATGGCCAGTGGTAAAATATCTCTGGTACCTGGCATTACATTTTAACTGCACACATGGCCTGGCCCAACAAAGTGACACAAATGTCAGATCCAGCCCTCATAACAAGTGAGTTTGACAGCTCTGGATTAAGGCATCGTGAACAAAGGGAGATTTTAAAGTCTTTTAACATGTCATGAGGGTAGCACCAACTTCTCCTAACATAGGGGAAGAAAAATGGCATAACGGGTGAAACTTATTTAGTTGGTATTCATTATTTAGTCGGTATTCATTATTTAGTTGGTATTCATTATTTAGTTGGTATTCATTATTTAGTTGGTATTCATTATTTAGTTGGTATTCATTTCCCAATAATGGGTCTCATTTAGCTTCCCAAAATCACAGAAAAGTCTCTAGCACACAGCTGAGAAGTATGAAGCGGGAGTTAAGACGGTTGGACCGAAAAGTCTCTAGCACACAGCAAGAATGGTAGCAAAATGAGAATTCAGCAGTGTTTGCTTGCAGAAGAGCTTTTGCTTAAACCAATAGTTGGAGAGAGACGACTAACCAAAGAGGCCTGTAACTGAAGTCTGGAGATCTCCTGGAATGACAACTGATCTCTGGATGACAGAGATCAATCCCCTTGCAGAAAAGGACTGCTTTGTAGGGTGAACTCTGTGCCATTCTATCCTGCTGAGGTCCCTCCTCTCCCCAAACCTTGCCTTCCCAGGATCTATCCCCCAAATCTCCAGGAGTTTCTCTGATCTGTAGCTAGCAACTTTAGCCCTCTGCTTTCTTGGTCAGCCCTAACTGGGGGCCCTATTTTGAATCAAATGAGGTCTGATGGGCTAGCAATGCCGGCTCAAAGCACTGTCACTCCTATGCAAGTCAAGAGGTAGGAAACTAGAGGCCCATGGGCTCAATCTGTTGCGTGGAGGTTTCCTGTTTATCCCCTCAGCATAGCTCCTAAGGCTACCAACTGTAAGTTGGAAACTTCCTGGAGATCTGGGGATGGAGCGTGGGGAGTCTTGTGAGCAAAGATTCTCCTTTGTGAGCTACCGGCATTAAAGTTGTGAGCGAGCCATTTGGCTGCTGCATAAGTTAGTTTGCTCTGGAGTCGTCCTTTCTGAGCCAAGACAAAACTCTGTGAGCTGGAGGCTAAAAAACTGTGAGCCAGCTCACACTAACTCAGCTCAGAGGGGACACTGCTGGGGAGGGCTGTGTTTGGGGAGTGGCGGGAGTTCAGTGGGTATGTGATTCCATAAAGTCCGCCCTCCAAAGCAGCCAGTTTCTCCAGAGGAACTGATCTCTGTTATCTGGAGATCATCTGCAATTCTGGGAGATCTCCATGCCCCACCTGGGATTTGGCAAGCCCCATAGCTCCCCACCCCAAAGGTTCCCTTATTATGGCACATTTCTCCATATAATCCTTCACCCAGGCCAAGGGCTTCTTAGCTTCTCCCCCCCACCCATCAGAACAGCAACAAAAGGTGTGACTAATGTACCAACTGTTGATTTGTTCTTGACTTTCAGGTTGGTCAGGCTCACGGAGGAATGATAGGATTTTTTCTGAGCATGTGCATTAAGACAACGCGGCATATTTTGTTTGATCGCTCCGAAATGAAGCATCGTTCTGCTGTGAGAAAAAGGTATGGGAACAGGGCAGTTACTTGGGACAGCTTGTAGTGGCCCGGTGACTTGAACTGGGGCTTCAGGGCTTTCCCACATTCTCATTTCCCTGGATTGTAAATTCCTGTTTCTTCGGGGTTTTTCCTCTGTTATATATGTGTTTTACTCCCTCTAGTGGTTGACTTGATATTACACCTGTTATGTCCAGCATAACACCTGCAGTTTAAATCTTCAGGGAGATATGCCCGACAGAAATCTACACAGCCGATCATATCTCCAGTGGCCAATCAGATGCCCTGCTGGCCAAGAGCCCCACGCGGCCCTACCCACTTTCTAAAAAATAAATATTTAAAAAGTGTGATATTGAATTGACCACTAGAGGGAGCAAAACAAACCTCCCCAAAGAAACAGGAATTTACACGCCAGGAAACGCAGAAAAACCCTCAGAATGACATAGCCTTGCTATAGCTCAGTAATCTCCAAATGTTTTGTCATGAACAGAGAACCATTTTCACATTTTCACAGGGGCCAGTTCTTTGGCCTGCTCTCACATTACAGCAGCCATTATGGATACTTGCTAGAAACTCTTCTGTGCAGGGGCTGTAACAATCACAAGTTGCAGTTGCAAGCTGCAAATGGCCCCAGTGACAAAGCAGTTTCCCCACTACCCTGGGGGATTATTTCCCTCAAGCCTTCCATGCAGTCTGAGGACGGAATTACACTGCATTCTGTAGCATAATAGGCCACACCCAACAGCAGGAACTCATTAGCATACTGGACCACACCCCTGACAGCACAGCTCATTAGCACATTAGGCCACACCCCCATGTTACCAGAAGTGTGGTCATCCAGCCACACCCACATTTTGCTTGTTATTCTGTTGACCTTGTTTGTTGTCAAAACAGTCCAGGGCCTTTTTTGTAGCAGGAACTCCTTTGCATGTTAGGCCACACACCCCTAATGTAGCCAATCCTAATGAGTTTCTGCTGTTGGGTGTGGCCTATTATGCTAATGAGTTCCTGCTGGGCATGGCCAACTTGGGAGCCAGCCGGAACTCCGTTCCTGTGCGTTCCTGCCCAAAAATAGCCCTGGGCTTAAATACTGTGTTTCGCCAGTTAGCTGACCTCTTTCTGTATGACTTAAGAGACCTAGTGTATATGAAAGTCTAAGACACTAAATCAGGGGTCCCCAACACGGTGCCTCTGGGCACCATGGCATAGAAACATAGAGCCGGAAGGGGCTCCAAGTATCATCTGGTCCAATCCCCTGCATAATTCAGGAAATCCACAGCTGGCACTTTTCCTAGTGCCCGCCAATTTTTTTTAATGGGTGGGGCTGCGTGGGTCTCTTAGCCAGCAGGGCATCTGATTGGCCACTGGAGATATGATTGGCTGTGTAGATTAAAAGAATATTGTTTTAGTGGCAGTTGCCTCGACAGTATTGGTTTGATTCTTTCTCTCCTCTTTTAAAATTACCCATCTTTCCCCTTGCACTTGGGCTTCCTCCGTGTTGGCTCTTCTTCTGCATCGGCCATGTTGTGGTTGGCTCCGCTTCCCACAGCCATGTTGGTTGCACCCACCACCCTGTGTTAGAGTGCCAAAGGTAAAGACCGGGGTGGGGGACCCCTGCTCTAAATTTTAAACCAGGAAGACTGAAGACTCACATCTGCCATAAACTCACAAGGCGGCAAGCCATGACTCTCCCAGTCTCAATCCCCCGCCCCTCAATCTATCATCTGGAGAGATAATGGTATGGACTGCCAGGGCTAGTCCTGAGCTGTGGACAACCATGCCCAGCTCTAGACCTGGGAGGTTTGAGTAGGGCAACGATGTTCAAAGTTTCCAGAATCAGGACTCCCCTTTAACCCTTACATGGGCAGCCTAGAACCCACGAAGCAGCAACCCCATGACATCAGTCACATGACAGGAAGAGGGGGAATCATGACCTCACTGATGTTAAAGCCTCCAGGGGAGTGGGCACCAGAGTGAGAAAGCCAGAGACAGGAAACACTAACGGAGCACCAAGAGAAGAAGAAGAAGAAGAGGTTGGATTTATACCCTGCCCTTCACTTGAAGTCTCAGAGCAGGTTACAAACACCTTTCCCTTCCCTTCCCCACAACAGACACCCTGTGAGGTAGGTGGGGCTGAGAGAACTCTTTCAAGAACTGCTCTTTCAAGGACAGCTCTGACAGAACTATGGCTTGCCCAAGGCCATCCAGCAGCTGCGAGTGGAGGAGTGGGGAATCAATCCTAGTTCTCCCAGATTAGAATCCGCACACTTAACCATTACACCAAACTGGCTCTCAAGCCTAGGGTGAGAATCATGAAGAATCAGCTCCACTGGTGAGTAATCATAGGGTTACCAGATGTCCTCTTTTTAGAGGACATGTCCTCTTTTTTGGTGTCTGTCTTCTTTTGGGTTCTTTTTTAAAAAAGTGATGAAAATGCCCTCTTTCTGGGTTGGGAGGCTGAGCCTGTTTTGCCCTCTGGTTCCCCCAGTGGAGGCAACCTTCATCTTAAATCGGAGGGGCATTTAAAATGAGATCTGTCATGTTCAGTGGTTTGAAGGAGTCAATCAGGAAATATGTCCTCCTTTTTGCTTGGTAACTCTATCTCTCGTCTTCTGCTCCTCTCAGCTTGCATGCCAAGAGAGGTAGCAAGTGTGGTCCCTTTGCTCTCTGCCCATACATATTATAGCAAGATTGGAGAATGAGGGAAGACAGAAAGAATGTGCGAGTGAAACTGTGGCTTCTCATAGATCCAGGTGGGGCAGCCGTGTTGGTCTGAAGCAACAGAACAAAGTCAGAGTCCAGTGGGGCACCTTTAAGACCAGCAAAGTTTTATTCAAGGTATGAGCTTGAATTCAGATTATTCAGATGCATCGTATGCTAATTTGCTTTTCACCTATGTAGAGGCATCTGTCTATATATATGAACTGCTAACTTCCATTTCAATGTATCTGAAGAAGTGTGTGTGCACACGAAAGCTCATGCCTTGAATAAAACTTTGTTGGTCTTAAAGGTGCCCCACTGGACTCTAACTTTCTTCTGTGGCTTCTCATCAGCGCAACCCTAGTCTTGAATATGATAATACATTTTAAATGCTTTCTTCCTTCTTTCTTTCAGATTAACAGAGCACACTGCTGATAAGACCAATGCCCCGATTTTAATTTTTCCAGAAGGTAAGAAATGCCAGTACTGTAATCTCTTTATTCATAGGTTGCCACTGACTGCCATAGCTCTTGATTTACTTAGGGCACCTATAATCCCGCCTTTCCCCTTGGCAATCATCATATTGTAGTGCCCGAGAATGCTCGTCACAGGTTTACCTGGTGCAGAAATTGGGAGGAATCAATTCATTCTTTCTTCAAATCTGGCGACTGTATTTCATGCCTTTGAAACCTCAGTGCTAGACTACTGTGACACATTCTAGGTAGGGCTGCCCTTGAAGACAGTTGGGAAGTCTGAGCTGCTGTGGAATGAATTTGATGTTCTACCTTCTGATGCGTGTGAGGTTTATTCCACCAGGGGCTCAGCATCCTCACTGAGCAATGGACTACACATTATGCTCTTAAAGTGTGAGCAAAATCCACTCCACACTGCTTGTTTCGAAACCTGATGGCTGCCTCCTATTGGTGTGCACATAAGGAAGGAAAATTAGAAAAATCTGAAGCACCAACTTTCTCCAGTCTCCTGAAGAGAGGAGCGCTCCAACCACATCATATTCTCCCTGAGTAGACTTGCAAGCGGGAAGGAGCAATTGCTGATTGGGGTTTCTCTCCCATGGTTATCTCGAAATGCCAGGAAGGAGCAATTGCTGATTGGGCTTGTTTCTCTCCCATGGTTATCTCGAAATGCAATTGTCTCCCTTGCTCTTCGCCCTCCTGTCTGGCAGGCAAGATTAGCTGGTATCCGTGACGACACACATGATAGAGGCCTTCTCACCTTTGTGCTATTTTTGACCAGGTACTTGTATTAACAACACCTCAGTGATGATGTTCAAGAAGGGGACTTTTGAAATAGAAACAACCATCTATCCAGTGGCCATAAAGGTAATCTGCTGTAGCAACTGATTTTTAAATATTGGACAAACCATCCCTGGGCTACTGTAAGGAGCTCTCTGTGGCTGGCTTTCATAACCATCCAGTGGCTTGGGTGGATGCGGAAGGCAGGTTTTTAAACTAAAGGTGTCCCATGGTGAAAGGAGAGATGGTTGTCGGCTAAACTGATTGGGGAAGTGGCATGAGAGTGATGGGCATTTAACCCTTTCCTTCTGCGGCATTTCCCCAGTCTCGACAGTCCCCCTCCTCAGTTTCTCTTCGCCCCACAGGGAGCAGCATTGCCAACAGACCTGGAGAAAAATGCCCTGCCCCCGCCCAATAGTGGCTCAAAAGGGGTTTACCAGGTGATGTTATTCACCTCCATACAATAAAAAGCTTCAGTTGTGATAAAAAAACTTGTCTCTCATCATCATTAACAATTTCAGATTTCTCACTGACACCTACAAGATAATGAAATCCATTTCTCTCCAGGACTTCAAACTTAGGTATCTTAGCAATGATCTTACTGTTTTTCCCTTTCTTAAGTAACACAGTACGATCACTGTCTATAAGCCTTTTGGTTGAAATCAAATTATCAGCTGCTCCAGGGACTAGAGCCACATTTTGTAAAGTAACATCTATCACTTTTCCACTCATAGTGAGGATTCCACTCGTAGTGAGGAGTGTAATTGGCACTGTTCCAATACCTCTAACATGAAGCAATTAGCATCAAGTTCAGAAAACAATCCCTCATACCTGCAAATGTGCATGCAAGATCCAGAGTCAAGTAAAAATATTTTCTTATTTCCATCAACATTATCATCGTCACAAATTCTAAAAGCATGCCCTCTTCTGCTATTAGCATGGAAATTCCCACATCTCTTTGTCTGCGTCTAAAGCCTCTGCCATAATTCCCTCTGCTCTCGTTTAGTTTGACCATGTGCTCCAGTGGTCTTTTGTCTGGCATCTCCTTTAAATTCATAGTCTCTGGCATTTCTAAATTCACAGTTTACAGCCTTATGATTTCCATTACATATGAAACATTCAATTTTCTTTTCCCGTTTAAATCTGTGCCCAGGTTTCAAACTTAGAACAGACTGGTGGACCTCCTGATGGCACTGGTATTTCTGGCCACTGTGTGATACAGAGTGTTGGACTGGATGGGCCTTTGGCCTGATCCAGCATTGGCGTCTCTTATGCTCTTATGTTCTTATGACATCTCATTAGACAAAGTATCATCATTGCTCCTTGAGTCAAATTCTTCTTTTAAAATCATTAGTAAACCTTCAAGAGTTAGATCCTCCTTGTGTCTTAGGGTCATAGCCAGATTTTTGTAACTCTGTGGTAGACCTCTGAGGATTGCAGCTATCGTATCTATTTCATCAGGTATTTTCCCCCAACTCCTTAAGTTCATTATAGATGCTCATTAGTCTGCTCAGTTTCTCAGGCAAAGAGTCAGTCTCCTTTACTTTAAAATCAAAGATCTGGGTCTTTAAGTAATTAATCTTACTACTAGTTCATCCTCCATATTTCCCTTTCAAGAATTCAATAATTTTCTTTGAGGTTTCTACAGTGTGTAAATTGGGCACATCATGAAGAATATAGCTTGCTTCTCACCGGCCATGAACCTAAAACATTGGTTCAGGCGTCAGGTCTGGAACTCGGGCCGTTAAACTTGCAAAAGCAGCCAGGTAAGACCTGACAACCCTAGAGTTTACAGACCCTAGAATCAGATTCTTAGCATAGGCATCCTGCATCTTAAAAGCACTTTTCTCTGACTCATTTTCTGGGGGGGGTCTATTCTTAAGACTTTCTCAGCCCCACACATCTGTCAGCCAAAACAGCGGCCAAGCACTTGTGGGATGAAAAAATCTTACAAGCATTCGGGAAACCCTAAAAGCTGAGTGGGGCTTGTTGTTGTTGTTGTTGTTCAGTAGAAAATCTTCCCACCAGGTAAAATTATATGGAGTCCGCCTCAATGGAGCTATTTGTTCAGAAGTTTGGAACGAACCCACAGGATTTGAAGATGCAGCAGCTGGAGCTGTGGCTTGGGCTGTGGAAGATGCGGCTTCACTCATCTTTGGCTTTAGCAGGCACTCAGCAGGGACTCACGGGGTTAATTCCGCCATCAGGCTGGGAGCGGGAGACTTGAAAGACCAGCTGGGCTCCTCCTGGTCAGCTGCAGCTTCTCTGAGACCTTGCAAACACACACATTTCCCTGAGTGAGGCTTGTTGTATTCTTTTTTAAAAACAGCAGGGACAGTGAAGATTTGAAGAAGGTTATTTCCTCTGCCTTCTGGGTGGGGCAGCAGCAGCAAAACCCCTGCAGCCGCTGCAGGCAAGTTGCCCATTTCGACACATTATATCTCCATTAAAGGAACATGCCATTGTTCTCAAGGCCTAGGGTTGCTGGGTTGCCCTGGCTACCAGTGGAGGATGGGGGGGGGGGGTAGGGCTGCCAGATCCCATGCACATGCATTTCTCTGTCTCACTGTTGTCTCTGATCCAGGTATTTTAATGTTTGAAGAACAGGCAGAATGGCTTTTCCAACAGAAGGGCGTTTACATGGACAGCTTGTTGGAAAAGGCAGTGTCTGTTGTACAAAGAAGAGAAGAAGACCCTGCAGAGGGCAGCAAGAAGACCATTAGATAGGACAGTGAGGTCAGCACTTTCTCTCCTGTTAATTGGGTGGCATGGGGGGGGGGGACACTCCAGGAGCTGGAAGCATCACCTCCGACATTTCAACATCACCGGAAGTGACGTAGGCATGTTGGGAGCGACGCACTGGTTTTGGGGCAAAACGTGATGGTAAAACTGCCCGCAAAACAAAGTTTTGCCCCCAAACCAGAGTGCCACCCCCCCAACTTCACTAATGTGACTATGTCACTTCCGGGTGATATAGACATGTCGCTCCTCCCACAGGAGCCCACAGAACTGGGGAATCCCCCACCCCCAACTGAGGACTGGCAACCCCAAGGTACCACCTGGAGGCTGGCATCCCTATTGAGGCCTGTTGGCAACTGTATGCATGCAAAGCAGGTGCTGGAACTCTTGCACAGCTGCTTCTTCTTGTGAGACTTCAGGCACCATGTCTGGTTTCCTGCAGGGGTTCACCCACTTTTGGGGCCCCCGATCAGCCGGCCATGATCCAGCCGGCGGGGGGAACCCTGCCCCCAAAGTGCCTCGTTTGCGCCAATGTGCCTGGTACAATGGAATGCAGCAAAACCCCTGCAGCCGCTGCAGGCATGCACATGCATTTCTCTGTCCCACTGTGTTCTCTGAGCCAGGTATTTTTAATGTTTGAAGAACAGGCAGAATGGCTTTTCCAACAGAAGGGCGTTTACATGGACAGCTTGTTGGAAAAGGCAGTGTCTGTTGTACAAAGAAGAGAAGAAGACCCTGCAGAGGGCAGCAAGAAGACCATTAGATAGGACAGTGAGGTCAGCACTTTCTCTCCTGTTAATTGTCATTCCTTGTCTGTCTCCAGATTGCTACTCTCAGGGCAATTTCCCCCTTCTTCTTGGAAGTCCCATAGTCTTACCCTGTCTCTAAGCTAGAGATGTAGTTAGGAACCGATCTCTGTCTCTCCGCTTTCCTATCAAGTATGTTAATTCCTACATAAACCTTTATTTACTCTTTAATCAGGTTGTGCACCATTGCTATGTTAATTACTCTGTCAGCACAGCTATGGGGCTGATAATGCATCTTCAAGTACATTCTGAGAGAGCCATCACAAGGCCTAAGGATATGTCACATGACCCTTGTGTCTGCTCTGCGTCTACCCCAGCCCTGTTGACCTGACATGCACTTGGTCGCCCTCCTCCGGACACGTTCCAGCTTGTCTATATCAGGGATGTCGAACTCATTTGTTATGAGGGCTGGATCTGACATACGTGAGACCTTGTTAGGCCGGGCCCTGTGTGTCATAAAATGTAATGCCAGATAGCAGAGATAAACTTTATAAAGGACACAAACACAATGGGTTTTTTTTTAGTTAAAATAAAAGCATGTTTAAAACATCAGCACTCTTGCAATATTTTGTTTATTTAACAGTGTCTGATAACTGACACCTCTTGCTCTGAATTATTGCATCACAATGTCTGTGCTGTTGCAATCTTGAGTATGCTGTTCAGGTGTGTATCTGTAAGCTGCAAACCTACAATGACACAGCAGCAGCAGAACTGGAAGAAGAAGCAGAAGACAGCCAGTTCCACTGCAGGCCTGATAGAAGTCCTCCAGGGGCCTGATCTGGCCCCCGGGCCACATGTTTGACACCCCTGGTCTATATCCTTCTTAAATTGTGGTGTCCAAAACTGAACACAGTACTGTAGGTGAGGTCTAACCAGAGCAGAGTAAAGCGATACCATCACTTCATGTAATCTGGACACTATACTTCTGTTGATACAGCCCAAAACCATTCATGTGTGATCAATGCATGCCCAGTGTCTGCTATACTGTTGTGAAACCCTCCCATTGGAGATTCACCAAGACTAAGCAGGAAATGGTTTTGATGAGTGATGAAGAAGGTGGTGTGAAAGATCTATTGTTGTCCGTGGTGTACTTGGGAGATTATGAGCATTAAAATTGTCTTGTCTCTTTTGCAGTACAATTGCTTGTACTCAGATCCTTACTGGAACAGCAGTAAATACAGCATGACGAAATACGGGCTTCGACTTGGGACCAGCTGGGCCTTCGTATGTGACGTGTGGTACTTGCCACCAATGTGCAAAAAGGTAATTTGCCAGGAAACTGAAGGCTGGCATTGGATTTATCATTTAAAGCTGTGTTTTGGGTACATGTTATTCCTCCAAATATATTTTTATTCTTCCAAGTACTTAGTACATTTTTATTCTTCCAAGAGCTCCAAACAAGTATACACGATTCTCCCTTCTTCCAGATTTGAGTCCCTAGGGTTGCCAGCTCTGGGTTGCGAAGTATCTGGAGATTTTGGGGGCGGAGCCTGGAGAGGGCGGGGTTTGAGGGAGGGGGACCTCAGCATGGCATAATGCCATAGAGTCCACGTTGTGGAGTCTGCGATTGCCGTAGTCTGGAGCAATGTTCCCTCTACGTTGTGGAGTCTTGTGAGCAAAAATTCTACTTTGTGAGCTACTGGCATTTAAGTTGTGAGTGAGCGATTTGGCTACTGAATAAATTAGTTTGCTCTCTGGAGCCCTCCTTCCTGAGCTAAGACAAAAATCTGTGAGCTGGAGGCTATAAAACTGTGAGCTAGCTCGCACAAGCTCAGCTTAGAGGGAACACTGGTCTGGAGATCAGTTATAAAAACGAGGGATCTCCAGACCGCACCTGGAGGTTGGCAACCCTGCCTTAGAGATCAGTATGCTTCTGGAGGGTATGGGCTTTCCAAGAGTCAACGCTCCCTCTCTCAGATACCTGATATCTGATGCAGGAAGCTTTGAATCTCGAAAGCTCAGGCCCCCAAAATCTTGTCCGTCTCTAAGGTGTTACTGAACTTGAATCTAGCTTGAATCTCACTACAGATGCTAATTTTCTGTTCCTGAGCCTTTCCCTCCTGCTCTAATCGAGCCAGAGGTCATTTCGGGGGGGATCACAGTTCCCCTAGGTGAGGTACGGGGGGCGGGGCACATGAGCCCTCATGGGGCTCGGCAGTGGAGCTGCAAGGCCATCCCTGCCTCTCCCCACCCCTGCCTGCCTGGGGCCAGGGAGGGCCTTCGCGGGGCTTCCTCGCCCTCCCGCCGGCCTTGCAGGTCCACTGCCGGGCCCCTCATGGGTGTGTGGCCTTATGACACACTTCTGGTGATGTCAGGGGGTGTGGCATATGCTAATGAGTTATGATAATGAGTTCCCCTAGCTCTTTTTCTATGAAACGACCCCTGAATCGAGCTGATTATATTTTCCATTGTATCTCTGCATTCTGACCCCTTTCTTTGCAACACCTCCTCCTGCCTTCATACTGGGATACAAGAACTCCATTCCAACTTGTATCTAACAAAGTGACTCTTGAACACTTACACCCCCCAAATCTTGTTGGTCTCTAACATGCTACCGGACTCGGGTCTGACTCTTCTGCCACAGGCAACCATGACTCCCCTCTGAAACTCCCTTCTTCCAGTCAGCGGTCATTTTGTAGAAAAAGAGGTGCAGGAGCTCATTAGCATAACTTATTTGCATATGTCACACCCCCTGACATCACCGGAAGTGTGTCAGAAGGCAACACCCACCGCTCAGGCTCCACTGGACTGTTTTGGATTGCTAGCTATTGGGGAAGGGGAACGTGCAGATCTGCCCTAGCAGAGGAGGGAGAGCTTGTACCTGAATAAAACTTGGTCTTAAAGGTGCCACTGGACTATTTTGGACTGGGGGGCCGGGAGGGGGCTCTGCAGTTTACCTGGCTGCTTCTTGCTCTGACTGAGGGCTGCTGGGAGCAGGGGGTGGGGCTTGTTGCATGTACCAGCCCCCTGGGCTCTTTACTGCCGGAGCTCTGCTCCTGTGCGCTCCTGTAGGAAATAACCGCTGCTTCCAGTTATCCTCCCGACAGCCCTGTAAAGTAGTTCTGGGTGAGAGAGGGACTGGCCCGAAGTCATCCAATGAATTTCATAGCAGAAGGGTATTTGAACTTGGATGTACACAAAAGTACAGAAGAAGATTTTGGATTTATACCCCGCCCTTCACTCTGAGTCTCAGATGGGTTTACAAACTCCTTTCCCTTCCCCTCCCCACAACAGACACCCTGTGAGGTAGGTGGGACTGAGCTCTGACAGAAACTGCTCTTTTTCAAGGACACCTCTGACAGAACCAAGGCTTGCCCAAGGTCATCCAGCAGCTGCGAGTGGAGGAGTGGGGAATCAAACTAGGTTCTCCCAGATTAGAGTCCACACACTTAACCACTACACCAACTCATACGTAACCAGCCACATTTGTCCGTAGTAAATCCAAAAATGCACACCCTGTCTCTTGAAAGCCAGCGTGTGGTGTAGTGGTTGGAGTATCAGACTAGGATCCGGAAGATCCAGCATTCGGATACCCACTCTGCTATCAAGTTTGCTGGGTGACCTTGGCGAGTTATGTTCTCTCTTAGTCTAGCCTTCCTTGCAGGGTTGTTGTGAAGGGAGGGAGTACTCTGCCTTGAGCGCTTTGGGAAGAAAGCTGGGATAAATGCGTACGAATAACTTAAACTGTAAAGAATAAATATCTGGCATTCAGATTGCTAATCCTACTTTGATCAGATTCAGGCGGGTAGCCATCTCAAAGTTTGAGTCTTTGTTCTTCCCCTACTTTTGTCAGTCACTGAAATATTTAAGCAACTGGGTACAGGCCAAGCCAAGCAGACGGGTGGTAAAATGCCTTGCTCTCCTTAAACCCTTGCAGGAGGACGAAGATGCCGTCCAGTTTGCCAACAGAGTCAAATCCGCCATTGCTGCTCGAGCAGGCTTGATGTCGCTTCCTTGGTGAGAGGCCTGACCTGTCTCGACCCAACAGGGTCCCTCTCAGGGTTGTCGGCTCCAGGTTTGGAAATTCCAGGAGATTTGGGGGTGGAGCCTGCGGAGGGCAGGGTTTGGGGAGGGGAGGGACGTCTCTGGGGTATAGAGCTGGGTTGGCAACTCCAGGACGGGAAACTCCAGGAGATTTGGAGGAGGAGCCTGGAGAAGGTGGGAGTTTCAGGGGGGGAGGGACTTCAGCAGGGCCCAATCCTACAGTGCCATAGAGCCCTCCCTCCAACTCAGCCCTTTTCTCCACTGGAACTGATCTCTGTAGTCTGAAGATGGCTTGCAGTTCCGGGAGATCTCCAGGCCCCACCTGGAGGTTGGCAGCCCTAATACAGTGCCACAGAGTCCACCTTCCAAAGTCACCATTTCCTCCAGGGAAGCAGATCCCCGTAGCCTGGAGATCAGTTGTAATTCTTGGAGATATCCAGGTGCCACCTGGAGGTTGGCAAGCCTAGTTCCTCCCACCGCTTCAGAGTGATGCATGTAATTGAAGGGAATCAGGGAAGAGCTTGGCGGAGGGGAGAACTGGGGGTTTTCTGGGAACAGCCAAAGAAGTGATTGGGAGAGATGAGGTGGGGTGTGTGGGTGTGGGTGGGTGGGGTGAAGGTGGCTAGACGAGCTTGATGCTGTGTTTTGGGGAGGGGAGGGACGTCTCTGGGGTACAGAGCTGGGTTTGCAACTCCAGGACGGGAAACTCCAGGAGATTTGGAGGAGGAGCCTGGAGAAGGTGGGAGTTTCAGGGGGGGAGGGACTTCAGCAGGGCCCAATCCTATAGTGCCATAGAGCCCTCCCTCCAACTCAGCCCTTTTCTCCACTGGAGCTGATCTCTGTAGTCTGAAGATCGCTTGCCGTTCCGGGAGATCTCCAGGCCCCACCTGGAGGTTGGCAGCCCTAATACAGTGCCACAGAGGAAAGGTATTATGTTTGGCAGCGCCAAAGAAGAGGATAAAATGCCGTCCTAAGCAGACTGATACCCTTCTATGCCCACTGACATCAATGGGCATAGAAGGGGGTAATTCTGCTTAGGACAGCTAGGTTCAAGTCCAGTGGCAACTTAGAGCCCAACAGGATTTTCGGGGTATACGCTTTCAGTGGTCAAAATCTCCCTTCATCAGGTATCAGGGAAAGTTGACTCTCGAAAGAGCCAGTTTGGTGTACTGGTTAAGTGCGTGCAGGGCTTTTTTTGTAGAAAAAGCCCAGCAGGAACTCATTAGCATAATAGGCCACACCCGACAAAATAATTTGCATATTAGGCCACACCCCTGACAGCACAGCTGATTAGCATATTAGGCCACACAGCCCTCGTTACCAGAAGTGTGGTCATCCAGTCACACCCACCTTTTGCTTCTTATTCTGTTTACCTTGTTTGTTGTCAAAACCCAGAACTTTTTTTGTAGCAGGAACGTCTGTGCATGTTAGGCCACCCACCCCTAATGTAGCCAATCCTAATGAGTTTCTGCCATTGGGTGTGGCCTATTATGCTAATGAGTTCCTGCTGCGCGTGGCCAACTCGGGAGCCAGCCAGAACTCCGTTCCAGTGCGTTCCTGCCCAAAAATAGCCCTGAGTGCGTGGAACTCTAATCTGGGAGAACCGGGTTTGTTTCCCCACTCCTCCACTTGCACCTGGCTGGATGACCTTGGGCAAGCCGTAGTTCTAACTAGAGCTGTCCTTGAAAGGGCAGGTTTGGAAAGATCCCTCCCAGCCCCACCTACGTCACAGGGTGTCTGTGGTGGGGAGGGGAAGGGAAAGGAGTTTGTAAGCCGCTCTGAGACTCCAAGTGCAGGGCGGGGTATAAATCCAATCTCCTCCTCCTCCTCCTCCCCTGAAAATCTTGTTGGTCTTCAAGGAGGTACTGGACTTGAATCCAGCTCTTCTCCTGCAGACCAGCTTGGCTAACCTCCTGAAACTATCTGCTTCAGATGGCACTGTAAGTGTGGTATGATGGTCGGTGTCCCTGGCTAGGATCTGGGAGGTCCACGTTTAATCTCTGCTGTGCCGTGAAGCTTGCTGGGTGACCACTGGTCAGTTGCTCTTTGCCTCGCAGGGTTGTGGTAAGGGCAAAAAGAGGTAGGGAGAACTGACACGGGCAGCCTTGAACTCTTTGGAGGAAAGGTGGGAGTCCAGCGTGCTACAGAGATAGCATTGGCTTACGGTTTTCACAGCTTCGGAACATCAGCAGCATAGCGTCATGTTGAAACTCATTCTGTGGCAGGCTGAGCTACAGATGTAAGTTTTGAAAAAGGCCATGAGGCCCGGGGACACTATGCAATACAAAACGTGTACCTTCCTTCTGCTGTTTCTCTGTTGCTGCTTCCTGCCACTGAAACTCTTTAGCCACCGGAATCTGTTGTGTTCCTTTCATTGGGTCTGTTGTTCAAAGGCCTGCGAAAACGCCACCTCTTTCCTGGGACGTTCTCAAACTGGTCTCTCTCCTGCACCGTTTCCCTCCACCCCCATTCCCTTGCGGTGTTTAGGCTCTTAAATTGTAAGCCTGAGGGTGGGGCCTGCATTTTCAGGTACTGTAGGACAATAAAGTCACACACCTTCTGTAAATCTGGGCTCTTTATCATCCCAGGGGCTAATGCTTAACCAGTAAGAAAACACAGACTTAAGAGCAGATCTGAAACGAATGCTACATTTATTAAAGCACTAAGCAGATAACAGATGAATGACATGACTAAGCAAATGAAATAAGCAAATAAAAGAAACACACAATTGTAAAAAAAAAAATCAGAATACAAGGTAAAGGTAAAGGTTCCCTTGCTCGAAAGCCAGTCGAGTCCGACTCTAGGGTTGCGGTGCTCATCTCCGTTTCAAAGCCGAAGAGCCAGCGCTGTCCAAAGACGTTTCCGTGGTCATGTGGCCGGCATGACTAAACACCAAGGCGCATGGAACGCTGTTACCTTCCCACCGGAGTGGTACCTATTTATCTACTTGCAATTTCTTCCTTTCGAACTGCTAGGTTGGCAGGAGCTGGAACTAGAGACGGGAGCTCACTCCATCGTGCGGCACACTCGGGTCTCGAACTGCTGAACTACCGACCTTCCACAGCCTGCAGTTCAGCGTCTTAACCACTTGAGCCACCGCAGCTCAATACAAGAATACAAGGGCAGCACTAAAATGTGGCTTTCTCCCTACCGCACTGTGCCTTTCTCATTCTGCCGCTGCCTTGACCTGGGTGCCCTGGGCCAGCCCAGTTTCTCATCACATCTTGGGATCTAGGCAGGTTCAGTCCTGGTTGGTGTTTGGATGGGAGACCGCGAAGGAATACCAGGGTCGTTATGCAGGGGCAGGCCGTGGCAAACCACGTCTGAACATCTCTTGCCTTGAAAACCCCACGGGGTTCACTATAAACCAGCTGCGACTTGACGGGCACTTTCCGCCACCAATCCTTGAATTATCTTATTATATCCCCTTTGCCCTAATTATCTCCAGCTAGGTTGCCAACTCGGGGTTGGATAATTCCATGAAATTTGGGGGCGGGGCCCAATGTTCCCTCTAAGCTGTGGAGAATTCCATGAAATTTGGGGGCGGGGCCTGAGGACGTAATCTGGGGGAAAGGGGTTTTTTGTAGAAAAAGCCCAGCAGTGAGCGAGCTATTTGGCTGCTGCATAAATTAGTTTGCTCCGGAGCCATCCTTCCTGAGCTGAGACAAAAATGTGTGAGCTGGAGGCTAAAAATCTGTGAGCTAGCTCACACGAACTCAGCTTAGAGGGAACACTGGCGGGGCCAGAGAAGGACATAATCTGGGGAGGGTGGAGAGCTCAGCAAGGATGTGATCCCATGGAGCCCACCCTCCAAAGCTGACATTTCCTCCAGGGGGACGGCCTTCTGTCGTCTGGAGATCAGTTCTAATTCCAGGAGAACTCCAGGCTCTACCTGGAGGTTGGCAACTCTGTCCCCAGCCCATTGACTTTAAAGCGAAGTGAATTCATAGCTCCGTACCCAAGATCAGGCCCTCTCAGGAGTCCAGAGAGGCCTGGGCCTCTTCCAGCCATAACAAAAATGTAACAAGATGATAACGGGGTAGGAGTAAAAACCAGTTGCAAACCAGTCAGTTTGGTGTAGTGGTTAAGTGCGTGGACTCTAATCTGGGAGAACTGGGTTTGAGTCCCCATTCCTCCACTTGCAGCTGCTGGGTGACTTTCGGCAAGCCATAGTTCTGTCAGAGCTGTTCTCTCACAAGCAGTCCTTGAAAGAGCTCTCTCAGCCCCACCTACCTGGGGCTGTTGTGTCTGTTGTGGGGACAGGAAGGGAAAGGAGTTTGTAAGCTGCTCTGAGACTCTGAGTGATGGGCGGGGTATAAATCCAATCTCCTCCTCCTCCTCCTCCTCCTTCGCGAACCCTCCCACACAAGTGTTTAAATTTAAGGCCCCCTTCCAGCCCAGCAGCCAAAGAATCACAAAGATATCAGTGGTGATGCTTGTGGTGGCAAAGCGGAGAACCATTTTGTGGTGCCCTGAATTCCTTGGCAGAAGGACAGGATCAAAATGGAGAAACAGACTGTTAGAGTCCAGTGCGGCACTTTTTTACAGCCTTATGAGGGCTGCCGGCCTCCAGACCAGCAGCAGCTCTCCGGGGTCTCGAGCAGAGGTCTTTCACATCACCTCCTACCCGATCCTTTTTGACTGGAGATGCAGGGGATTGAACCTGGGACCTTTCTTCAACACCAAGCAGATGTTCTGCTGCTGAGCCACAGCCCTTCCTAACAGTAAGAAAGGGCATTGACCCAGATAGAAAGCAAAACCCAGCTCGATCCAACCCATGGAGTTATGTTTTTAAGAAAGACTTGCATTGTTTACAGATGTACAAGCAGAGCGCAGGGGGAAGGAGCAGATCTGCCACTCCCTGCAACAGGAAGAGGGAGAAAGATCCTACATCCTGGTGCTTCAGCGAACTCACAGCACCCTCTGTCTGCTTCTCTCTCGGTCTGCTCTGAAACCCATACCTGCTGTTTCACCTCTCTGTTGTACACACAACCACCTCCCCTGTCCTCTCAGCTGGGATCACCCTTTCCAATAGACAGAGCTATCAGGGGAGGTGACCGTCTCCTACCCATTACGGCCTATTGAGGGAGCATTAGCGTTTGCTTGTCATAGGCCCTGTTTGCCACCAGGTGGCGCAATCTATGCACAAGTCTAAACTACAGCAATAGACCCATTCCCAGGAACCAGACTGCAAAACCACACCATCATCTTTATTTATTTTATTTATTTGGATTTATATCCCGCCCTCCCCTTAATGGGCTCAGGGTGGGTTCCAGCAATATAAATATAATACAACAATGTAAAATGCAATACAGTTAAAACCACATTAAAACACAGTATAAAATAACATAACTCATATATGCCATAGGTAAAGGTAAAGGTTCCCTTGCTCGAAAGCCAGTTGAATCCGACTCTAGGGTTGCGGTGCTCATCTCTGTTTCAAAGCCGAAGAGCCAGCGCTGTCCGAAGATGTTTCCGTGGTCATGTGGCCGGCATGACTAAACACCAAGGCGCACGGAACGCTGTGACCTTCCCACCGAAGTGGTACCTATTTATCTGCTTGCAATTTCTTGCTTTTGAACTGCTAGGGTGGCAGGAGCTGGAACTAGAGACGGGAGCTCACCATCATGCGGCGCACCCGGGTCTTGAACTGCTGAACTACTGACCTTCTACAGCCTGCAGTTCAGCGTCTTAACCACTTGAGCCACCGCAGCTCCTATATATATATGCCATACAACTCTAGAAAAAAGCCAGATATCTCAGTGGTTGATAGTACTAGAAACTAAATTTCCCAGAGATCTATAAACCTTGAGATCTCAGACCCAGGCTACAAATGGGGGCTGACCCTAGGAGGGGGATGCCTGCTGCCTCAACCGAAAGCTCAGTGGAAGAGCTCCGTCTTTCAGGCCCTGTGGAATGGTAATGAATCCCGCAGGGCCCTGGTCTCACATGGGAGCTCATTCCACCATGCAGAGGCCAGGGCCGAGAAAGCCCCGGTCCTGGTCGAGGCAAGTCGGACGTCCCTGGGGCCGGGGACCACCAGAAGATGTTGATTGGTGGACCTCAGTACTCTACGGGGCTCGTATGGGGAGAGGCGGTCTCGAAGGTATGCTGGCCCCTGGCCGAATAGGGCTTTACAGGTAAGTACCAGCACCTTGAGAGCCAGTTTGGTGTAGTGGTTAAGTGTGCGGACTCTAATCTGGGAGAACCGGGTTTGATTCCCCACTCCTCCGCTTGTACCTGCTGATGTGACCTTGGGTCAGTCACAAGCTCTGGCACAGCTGTCCTTGGAAAAAAGCAGTTTCTGTCACAGGGTGTCTGTTGTGGGGAGGGGAAGGGAAAGGAGTTTGTAAGCCACTCTGAGACTCCTTTGCGTAGTGAAGGCCGGGGTACAAATCCAATTTCTTCTTCTTCTTGAAATGGATCTGGAATTCGATAGGAAGCCAGTGCAGGCCGCGCAGTACCGGGCAGATGTACGCCCGCACGGGCGTTGCCGTCAACACCCGCGCTGCCACACACATTCTGCACTAGCTGCGACTTCTGGAGCAGAGTCAAGGGTGGCCCCGTGTAGAGAGAGTTACAGTAATCCAATCTGGAAGTGACCATTGCATGGGTCGCTGTAGCTAAGTCCTGGGAGGTGAGGCATGGGGCAGACCTGGCAGTGGCCGTGACCTGGGCCTCCATGGAGAGGGAGGCATCTAGGAACACCCCCAAGCTCTTTACCCTCGATATCGGGGCCAACGGAGCCCCATCAAAGGCTGGGAGCCTAATCCCCTGTCCCCCACGACTCAAGTACGGGACCCCTCCGTCTTAGATGGATTTAGCTTCAGTCGGCTCTGATGCAACCATCCAACCACGGCCTGTAACACCTCCTCCAGATCTCCCAGGGCCGTATCCAGGTGGCCGTCCGTCAGTAGATAGAGCTGGGTGTCATCTGCATACTGGTGGCACCCCAGCCCATACCTCTTGTCCATATGGGATGTAGTTTCATTTATCCAGAGGTAGGACGTACCCGAGGGCCCGTCACTGTGACAGGCTGTGGGTATGGAAGCCTGATCTGATCCCCCGTTCCCCCCCAACACACACCCTTAGTGGAGAAAGCAAACCATCCAAGGCTTTGCGGTTCAGACCCACAGCAACATTTGCTCTCTTGCTGTGTTTCAGGGACGGAGCGCTGAAAAGACAAAAAGTCAAAGACTCTTTGAAGAAGCAGCAGCAGGAAGAATATTGCAGGATAATAGTGGGGAGAGAGCTCCCTGTGTGCTCTGAAGGGCTACTCGCCAGTCAAAATGAAGCCGATGACTCCAGCGCCTGGGGTCCGGAGGAGCCTGCCGAAAGTCCACTTGCAGCTGCTGGATGACCTTGGGCAAGCCGTAGTTCTGATAAGAGCTGTTCTTGAAAAAGAGCAGTCTCTGTCAAGAGCTCTCTCAGCCCCAACTACCTCACCGGGTGTCTGTTGTGGGGAGGGGAAGGGAAAGGAGTTTGTAAGCCGCTCTGAGACTCCTCTGGGTAGTGGGCGGGGTATAAATCCAATCTCTTCTTCTCTTCTGTAAAACGGAGCTGTTCCGCCAGGCCTTTGGGTGAGGCGGCGGATGTCTTCACCATCTCGGTCTTCCCGAACGACCCATGGTAAGCTACAGTCTGTATCCTGCTAATGTCTAACAAAGGAACTGCGGTGGCTGAAGTGGTTAAGACGTTCTCTTCTGTAAAACGGAGCTGTTCCGCCAGGCCTTTGGGTGAGGCGGCGGATGTCTTCACCATCTCGGTCTTCCCGACCCATGGTAAGCTACAGACATTTAGTATCCTGCTAATGTCTAACAAAGGAGCTGCAGTGGCTCAAGTGGTTAAGACGCTGAACTGCAGGCTGTGGAAGGTCGGTAGTTCAGCAGTTCGAGACCCGAGTGTGCCGCATGACGGAGTGAGCTCCCGTCTCTAGTTCCAGCTCCTGCCAGCCTAGCAGTTCGAAAGCAAGAAATTGCAAGTAGATAAATAGGTACCACTTCGGTGGGAAGGTAACAGCGTTCCGTGCGCCTTGGTGTTTAGTCATGCCTCCACAGAAACATCTTCAGACAGCACTGGCTCTTCGGCTTTGAAAAGGAGATGAGCAACGCAACCCTAGAGTCGGATTCGACTGGCTTTCGAGCAAGGGAATCCTTTACCTTAATGTCTAACAGGAAGCGTATTGGATTGCTCTGGAGCAATGTATGTTTCCTTGCTGCCCTCTTGCTTTATTTAACTGTTTTTTTAATTATATACTTATTGTGTTTTATTTGTGATAGGGTGGGATATAAGTATAAATAGATATGGGTCCTCTTACGGATCAGGGCTACAGTGCTGGAGATGGTACAGTTTAAGCAGGGCTATTTTGGGGCAGGAACGCACAGGAACGGAGTTCCGGCTGGCTCTTACTTTTTAAGCCGGGGGGGGGGGGTGAGATGTGGCAAAAGGTGAGAATCTGTCTTTTCCCCCTCTCAAGGTTTATAACAGCTGTGTGGTGTGTGTGTGTCATTTCCAAACAGGCAAGAGCGAACTTCCCCTTCATCCGCCCTGCAGCCCCAATTTACAGTAATTTATTCCCTTCATTTATACCCGTCCTTTCTCCCCAATGGGGATCCAAAGCTGCTTGCATCATTTTCTCCTCCATTTTCTCCTCACAACAACCCTGTGAGGTAGGTTAGGCGGAGACCAGAATCAGAGACTGTGTGACTGGCTCAAGGTCACCCAGCAAGCTTCCATGGTATGAGTGGGGATCTGAACCTGGGTTTCCCAGACCGTTAAATGGCACTAACCACTCCACCACACTGGCTCTATTTCCCTCCCTCCAGCTGAATTGTATGCCTGGGGATCTGGATATGCCCACCCCTCTAGCATCACTGAAGAAGAAGAAGAGATTGGATATATACCCCGCCCTTCACTTGGAGTCTCAGAGCAGCTGACAATCTCCTTCCCTTTCCCATCCCCACAACAGACACCCTGTGAGGTAGGTGGGGCCGAGAGATCTCTGAGAGAACTGCCCTTTCATGAACAGCTCTGACAGAACTACGGCTTGCCCAAGGTCATCCAGCAGCTGCGAGTGGGGGGGGGGGGGGGGAGAGATGTGGCAAAAGGTGAGAATCAGAGACTGTGTGACTGGCTCAAGGTCACCCAGCAAGCTTCCATGGTATGAGTGGGGATCTGAACCTGGGTTTCCCAGGCCGTTAAATGGCACTAACCACTCCACCACACTGGCTCTATTTCCCTCCCTCCAGCTGAATTGTATGCCTGGGGATCTGGATATGCCCACCCCTCTAGCATCACTGAAGATGAAGATATTGGATATATACCCCGCCCTTCACTTGGAGTCTCAGAGCGGCTTACAAACTCCTTTCCCTTCCCCTGTGAGGTAGGTGGGGCTGAGAGAGCTCTTGACAGAACTGTTCTTGAGAGAACAGCTCTGACAGAACTATGGCTTTCCCAAGGTCATCCAGCAGCTGCGAGTGGAGGAGTGGGGAATCACACCCGGTTCTCCCAGATTAGAGTCCCCACACTTAACCACTACACCAAACTGGTTCCGTTTGGTTTTGGCCCTTAAATAACACTTTCACAGAACCATTTAATGTATGACTTGACAGTAAAATCTCTGACTGTGTCCCCAATGTTTGTTCAAACATCCATTTATTGTGGGAGTTTGATGGTATCCTAAATAATATGGCACTAATATTAGCAGTTTTGCACACTGCATGGAAAACTGAAGGGGGGAAAGTGATGGAACTTTCTGGTGGAGAGTGCTGTCAAATCACACCTGACTTAGGGGGCAACCCTGTAGGGTTTTCAAGGCAAGAGATGCTCAGAGGCAATGTGCCATTGCCTGCCTCTGTGAAGAGACCCTGGACTTCCTTCAAGGTCTCTCATCCAAATACTAACCAGGACCGACCCTGCTTAGCTTCCAAGATCTGACAAGATGGGAATAGCCGGGGCTATCCAGGTCAGGACAGTGAACTTTTAATGCATGTCAATTGCATTGTAGGTTACTTACACGTTCATTGTGGCACACCTTTTAGTCCAGCCACAAGAGGGAGCTATACGGTCACGATGAGACCCCAAAGACCAAGTCTGGTATTGTGACACTGATTCAAAAATCCCAGATCTTTTGGTGTTTTAATCTGCGTGTAAAATAAGGAGCGTTCACAGATGTGTATGGAAAGGACAGTGTGAAAATAGGTGTGAAAGCTTTACTTGGAACTGTGAGTATTTTTAAAGGGTAAGCGATGGTTATTTATTTTAAAAATGAGACTCGTGATGCCATATTAACTAATGTCCTGTATGATATTCCCTGTTCTATAGTCTGTGATGTGACTGCGCTCTCTTTCATCTGTTTACTGCTATCATCTGGAAAAATCTCTGGATGCTGTGGTGTTACGTAAAGCCAGATCCTAGGCATATCTGCTTGGAATGAAGGCCTGATATGTCCGATGGGATTGCGGCCTTGCTGTGCTACACGCTAGCCCTGTAAGGTTGGAGGGCATATTTTATAGCAGTCTTGCTAAATTTAAGCAGATCTTCTCAGTGCCTGGTTAGGAGACCTCCCGGGAACCTTATGTAAGCGGCCTTTCCCCCCCTTGCTATAGGGTTGCCAACTGACCACTTTAGAGAAGACTTTGGCTGTACAGGAAGAGGGCTTGGCTGTCTAAAATAATGAATTGTGTTTGGGAGGCCTGTGTGGACCAAGTTGAATATGTTAAGCCACTAAAAAGACCTTGGACTGTACAGGAAGAGAGTTTAGCTGTATTCTAATGTTAAGCTGTTTAAGGAGCCTGTGTGGACCATATTGAATATGTATGAGTGTATTAAATGTTAGTTGTTTCTATTATAAAATTTGAATTCAATTATCTTCAGGGCTTCACATGTCCAGTTAAAAAATTTTTTTTACACAGTGTAACAGCCTTAGTGCTGTGATTTTGTATCAGACCTGCTTTCACTGTGTTCCCATTATATATTCACACAACCTCCAGGTGGTGGCTGGAGATCTCCTGGGATTATAAGTGAGAGCCAGTTTGGTGTCGTGGCCAAGTGCGCGGACTCTAATCTGGGAGAACCAGGTTTGATTCCCCTCTCCTGCACTTGCAGCTGCTGGATGACCTTGGGCAAGCCACAGTTCTGACAAGAGCTGTCCTTGAAAGGGCAGTTCTGGAACGAGCTCTCTCAGCTCCACCTACCTCACAGGGGCAGGGAAAGGGAAGGAGTTTGTAAGCCACTCTGAGACTCCAAGTGAAGGGTGGGGTATAAATCCAATCTCTTCTCCTCCTCCTCCTCCTCCTCCTCTTTTAAGTGACCTCCACATGGAGAAAATGGCCACTTTGGAAGGTGGGTTCTATGGCATTATAACGCCAGCAATTCCTGGCGACCTGGTGAAGCAATGTCGCAGGCGGAGCCCAGAGAAAGTGGAGCCTTGGAGAGTGTGGTGACGTGTGGCGCAGCGCGGCGGAGCCACCTGTGGACAGTAGCCAGAACTGCAGCCAACACAGAGCCACGCGCCAAGACGAGACCTGCCGGAAGAAGCTGCTGGGGAAGATCGGCTCAGAAAGGGCACCAGGACGCCAATATCTGAAGCCACGGAAGGAAGCCAGATGACAACTAGCCTTGGGTGCTGGTAGGCAGTCACCTCCCTGTAGACAATGTGGCCCTAGTCAGGTTAATTGGTTGGTTAGAACCACTATGTAAACCGCCCAGAGACCCTTCGGGGTCAGGGCGGTATATAAGCCGAAGGTATAATAATAATAATATAATATAATAACCCATTAAAGTCCTTTCCCTCCCCCAACCTCACCTCCTCAAGCTCTACCGCTGGGATACAGGAACCCAAGGCCATTCAATGAAGCTGATAAACAGTAGATTCAGGACGGAGAGAAGGAAATATTTCTTTATGCAACGATCCAGAGGAATTGGCCATGTTAGTGTGTTGCTGCAAAATAGTAAAAGCCTGGCAGCACCTTTTAAGACTAACAGACTTTATTGTAGCATAAGCTTTCGAGAAACACAGCTCTCGAACGTGCATCTGACGGAGAGAGCTGTGTTTCTCGAAAGCTTATGCTACAATAAATTCTGTTAGTCTTAAAAGGTGCTGCCGGGCTTTTTACTATTTATGCAACGAGTTATTAAAACATGGAATCCGCTGCCAGAGGGTGTAGTGATGGCTTTAGGCACAGACAGTTCAACAGCGGATTAAACAGAGGCCGCGGTCACACGGACCTCTTACCGCGCTAGTTTTCCCGCAGTTCTTCTACCCGCAACATTTTATATCGCTTGGAGGTGGTCAGACGGTCCCTCTGTCTTCCGCTTCACTCGCGCGAAGTACTGATCACACAGTGCGCCGTCCCTGCG